AACAGTTCGAGGTGGAGTCGACCCGCCAGACCGTATGCCGCTGGGAGGTGCTGGCTGGCGCGTCGCTTCAGCTTCAGACGCGTGAGCGGTACAGCAACCACCACCGTTACCTGCGAAAGCGGCACGCGCTGGCGCGCCGGTGCATTCAAGCAGATGGCGACAGCGAGACGGCGACCCGATCGTTTTCGCGCAGCATTGTGTCCGTGCGCGCCGACGCGACGAACACTGGCGATTGGCTAGGCTGCAAGGCTCACACGTGCGAGGTGTCAGCTCTGTTCTCCGACATCCCGCACGACTGCATGGAGGCCTTCCTCAATGGCCGCTGCTTTGCGGACGCTGCCCTGTCCGCTTGGGGCGAGCCTGACTTAGTCGAGCCGCCTCCAGATAGCCGTGCCACCGTCTACTCTGACTTGATGCAAGTGCCAGAGAGTTGCACTGGCGAGGAGTCCTACGCCATGGTCTGGAAGCAGGTGTCGTGCGCGGGTGCTACGTGCTGGGACCAGGCTGGCGGGCGCGCGGTGGATGGGATGGAGGGATTGAGGAGGGATTGAGTCGAGACCGCGGGGACTTTCCTTCTCCCCACTGGGTGACGTTGGCGCCTTGCTTCCCCCCCGGGGCCTCTCCTCCGTGCTTGCCGCCGCTGCGAGGCGAACCTTATCGAGAATGACGACCGCCTCTTCCACGTCAACGTGTGGTTCTTCGGTAGCGACCAGGGTCCCGACCAGAAGGGGTCAGACCACATCTTAGACATCGTTCTGGCTGACCGCAAGTGGGTGCTCAAGTTTCGGCAGTGGTGTCTCCAGCACTGCATGCACCTCATGGTGCCCTTTCTTCTGCCTGCCTCCCTCGACCCCAAATCCTTCATTTTTCCATTCTCATTTTCGCTCTTCCCTTGGGTTAGGGGCGAGTCGAGGGGCGATGGCGGCGACGACGGCAGCGACGACGACGTCAATTGAAACTACTGCTCCCTCCGCAGACTGGCAGACAGCTCGTGGAGATCGATCGCTGGTTCAAGAGGGGCTACTTCGGGCGATTGGGAACTCTCGTCAACGTGTGGAGGTCTGACGGCAAGAAGATCAAGCAGACGTGGGCTGCTCAGACGAGCGACGCCCGTGCGAGATCAGTGTGCAGCATGCCCCCGCCTCGTCCGCTCCGAGGTCGATGGAATTCCATTTCGAGCACTGAGGCCTACATGTTGTTCGCGCAACCCGCGGAGGTCTCCCAGGTGTTCACTGCCCACCTGCGCCCAGCGGCTGTCGCCAAGGCCAAGGCCGCTGGTCGTGGCCGAGGGCGCGGGCGAGGCGGGCGCGGGCGCAGACGGCGGCTTATTCTCCCCGAGGGTGAAATGGATGAAGCTGCTTACTCCGACAGGTTATCGAAATGGAAAGCCGACGTGCTGCTGACGGCCAACGACAATACGTTCTGGTTAACGTTGTTCATCGCCAACAGGACGAGGTCACCCTCAGAGCATCTGAGCCGTTGGCTGCAGTCTGCAACTACCAGCGACTCGCGCCCGCGGTCCATCGACTTCGTCTGTGTGAAGGGAAGGCAGTTTGCGAATGAGTGGGTCGACCTTTTGCTAGAAGGCAACGACGCCAAGTACTGGGACCCTGTGAGGCGCATTGCCGACCCCGACGAGCAGGCGCTGCGGCGGTCCAGAGTCGTGCACATCAGATTGTGCATGGCGGCAGACTACAACAGGAGGGTGATGGTGCAGGTGGCAGATCTTCCTTTGAGGATTCTCGCTCTTGCCTTCGCCCACCCATTGGAACCGTGCGATGAAAGGAGAGAGCTGGCGGCTTCACTGCTTCAGGCAGCAGAGGCGTTCCCAGGTGCTGCCGCCGATTTGCAGTGCGACGCGACTTCTAAGAAGTTCGTCGACATCTTCGCGCCAGAGCTGGCTCGATGTCGAGATGAGGGGCGAGGCGCGTTGGACAGGCAGCTCTGGGCTTTCGTCAACGCCATCGCGCGCGAGTGGAAGCTGGACACGCAGGAGATCGAGGGCGTGAACAGCATTATCAAGACGGTGTGGAAGCGTTCCCCAGCGATCGCATGGCCGCTGCTGTCTGCCCGGATGTCGATGCGCAAGTTCTTGGAGCGGTTGGGCGGCGATAGAGATTCTCGGGGCGCCTTCTTAGAACGATGCGTTTACCATCGCAAGGCTGGCGAGCGGGAGGCATGGCGAGGGCGTCGAGGAGGAGGAGAGGATGCGGAAGGAATCGTTGGAGTTGGCGGAGGAAGGAGGATTGGACGACGATGAGGAGTATGAAGAGGATCACGGCGTACCCGATCCACCGTGTTCTCCTTTCACGTTCAGCGGGGTGGGGTGCCACTCCGTCGATCACTCTGCCTGTCCTCTTCCAGCCTCCTCCCCTCCGAGTTATCCTCCAGCCTTGTCGCAGTCGCCGTGGTCTACCCCGCCCCCGCCATCTCACCGTCTCTTACGTTGCCCGCGCAGGCTGCCGTGGAACTGGCTTCGACGTCGACGACTTCCAGATTTGCAGCGAACGCGCGCCCCGGTGACCCCGCTGTCCCGCGGGGCGCTCCTGCGGAGAAGACCGCCCGCGCCAAGTGCGTGGCGAAGCTCTGCTTGAGGAGACCTTGGGCGGCAGAAGGAGGTCGGCGGAGGGGTCACTTAGGTTAGGAGGGGAGGGGTGGGGGTGGGGTGGGGATAAGGCAGATCGGGATGCGAGGAGGGGCGAGAGGCGGCGAGAGGATGGCAGGGGGGGTAGCACGAGGTGATCAAGGGGATGGGCGCGGGGGGAGATGCTGCGGGAGAGGTAAGGGGGGGGGGGGGGGGGGGGGGGGCGGGGCGACAGCGGTCGGGGTAAAAGAAAGCCGCCAGCCCAGAAGGGATGAGCCAGGATGCTTGGGGGAGAGGGGGAGAGAGCGAAGCGCGCGGCGCAGGTCGGGGGAGAGGGTGGAGCGTGGGAGGAGAGGAGAGGATGGATATGCGCCGCGTTCCCCACCCTTCCCAGGATGAACAAGATTGCCGAGGATATCTGGGAGGAGCGTATCTTGCCGTCAGCCGTGCATGTCTGGCGCATCATACCTATACGTGGTGGCGCGGTTGATTTTGGGGTGCTGACCAACGCGAGCGGTATCTGGATCCCTTCGTACACATATTATTCTCAACTGTGGTCGGCTCGTACAGAGGTGTCTGACGGTGGCCAAGTCAAGCTTATCATGCCGCTTACGTTCGCCACGCTGTTTGGCGTCTTGTCCGTGCATCGCGATGCTTATGTTAGTCCCGACCGTGACGCGGATGCCGTGGATTCGATGTTACAATTGAATGACCTCTGCTGGGACTGTGAGTGTATGGACAGGGCGTCTGTCGAACAAGAGTACGTATGTTTTATGTTATCTAGATATTGCAAGTGCCGTGGCGGTGATGACGGCGACGCCAGCGACGAGTCTGGCGGGGGCGGGGCCGACGGCGTGGACGACCCCGCCGACTCCGACGCTGAGGCTGATGCCTACCTTGACGTGGAGCACGACCGCGGCGAACTCGGTGATGAAGATTACGAACTTGAAGCCGATATGCACGAAGGTGACGCACATGCCCGCGACGCCGCCGACATAGCTGGCGCCGCTGCTCGTCTCGGTGCAGTGGCAGATCGTGCTCGTGATGAGGCGCTGCGTCGTGCCGCTGAGCTCGCTGCTTCGGACAATGGGGGCAGCAATGAGGCACTGCCGCTCCCCTGGCTGAACCTCGACAAATGCCGTCCTTGCCTTGCTCAGCTCCCCCCTGGTCGCCGCGCGGCTTTGCGCTGCGCGTTGCAAGGGGGAGTTGGGGTAGGTGGCGACGCGGTGGCGCGGTTCGCCTGGCGGGCGCAGCGCGCATTCGGCCACGCCTCCTCCCCAGGACCCGACCAGGTCTCTCGATGAGCACATCGTCGACGTGATTCTGGGCATGGACGATGTCAAGCCAGAGAACGATACCGACGATGACGATGTCGAGGGGTCAGCTGATGACGTGGCCAAACCTGTCGGCGTCGACCATGTCGCAGATCCTGATGCAGAGTTCATCGATGCCTTTTCTCTGGCGTGGTGCGAAGCAGTCCAACCTGTCTTGGCCTCGCTGGCATTTGTTCAGCAGCCATCGTGCACGGCGATTGCCTTAAACCACATGTCCTTGGTGCTGGAGCTCACCGCTGGAAGAGCCGCGGGCCCGCTGCGATATTTTCATTGGGATGTTCCAGGCGAGGAAGGCAGGTGGGTCATCGTGGACAGGAAGTACATTAATTACGCGCCGCCTGGCCCGAAGGATGCAACAGGGCGCCCGGCCAACAGGGTCAGCGTCAAAGATGAGTTGGAGAACGGCACTTTGCGAATACTTATTCCGAACTGCATTGCCCAGATGCGGAGGTTCACAGGGGATCTTCGCAGCGAGTTGCCCGCCGAGGTCGCTTGGGCAGAAATGCGTGGGGCTGAGGGCTGAGGGCTAGTGGGGAGAGAGGGCCAGGCGGCGGGGGGGGGGGCGGTAGCGGGAGGGCGGGATGATCAGCGAGAGTGGCGTGGAGATGCGGCGGCGGGGGTGGGAGGCGCGGGCAGGTGGGTTCAGCCGGGGGATCCCTCGCACCCTCTCGCTCTCCCACCTCTCACCCCCTCTCACCTCCTCACCCTCTTACCCTCTCACCTCTTCCATCCAACCTTCTCGTCCCTCGCGTTACTTCGCCTTCATCTCTGCTCCACTTTCCTTCCTTATCTCGTTATCTCGTTATCGCTCTCTCTCTCTATCTCTCTTGTCTTCCTCTCTCCCGTTTCCTTGTCTCTCTCTCCCTATCTCTCTTTATTTATCCCCCTGCTTGTCCTGCCCCTCCTCCCATCTATCACCGCATTCCCCATCCCATCGCGCCCCCCTCGCATCCTCCTCGTCAGAGGGTCCTCCTCACCCTACGGGTCCATCCTCGTCCATCTTCGCCGCCCCCCCTCCTTGCCCTGGGCGCCCCCCCAGTCGTTCTCCTCTCGCCGACCCCCCTGGCGCCCCAGCCGAGGTAATGCGCGTCAAGACCATCCTGGATCTCGTGTACCACGGCGACGAGGCGGGCATTGCAGCCCACGCGTGTGACGATGATTTTCCTCGTTGCGTCGCCTGCAGGAAGCGCGCCAACTTGCTCGACGCCGTCCCAGGTCGCCCTCTCTGACCAGCCTTAGGACGATCCCTGCCCAGGGCCCACTACCTCGAGGGGCGCGGGCGCGGCGGCGCGGGGGTTTGGCTTCTGGGAAGGGCGCCTACAACTGAAACGCTGATATGATGTGCCTGGAAGAAGGTTGAGGTTGCCTATGATGTAACTCCACCCGCCCCCACCCCCCCCTCCCCTCTCCATTGGGCCAACCACCGCCACAACGTCCCCCTGCCCCTTGACGCTCACCCCCCACCCCTCCATCGGGCGTGGCAGTAACGCGCGGGGCTCTCTCATCATTGCTGGATTCAGGACGGGGCGCGGCGCGCGATCGCAACACCCCCCCCCCCCCTCCTGTCGGCGCTGCTCTAGGCAGGGGGGTTGATGGCGGGGCGGGGGCGGGGGTTCGGGAGGCAGACTGTGAACGCAACATCCGCCGATAGATCGATTGCCCGAGCGATCGACGACCGATCGAACCGGCGATTCGACGATTACGGCTCGAATCAAGTTCGACAGCTTGACGGATGGGAGGGTCATTTAAGCACCGCGGCCGCGACAAGCCCAGGTGAGCCCACAGACTGGTTGGTATGCCCTGTGTGCAAGCAGTTCTGGCACGAGAGGTGCGCGGTCGGGATGCGCGACAGTGGCCTTGCGGCACGCGCAGGGGCAGCAGCATGGGACCGATTGGTCTCGCCGCTGCCGGAGGAGGATGCGGTCGCGCATGAGGCTCGGCTCCAGAGCTACAGGTGCGCGTTCACGTACGACCAGCTGACCCAGTCTAGCTGGGTGTGCGCGGCGTGCATGCATTGCATGGAGCGCAGCATCAGCTAGGCTCGCGGCGTGTGCGCCGTTACAGCGCGCTGGCCACCTGGTCGCGCATGGATGAGACGTGCACGCGCAATCGTACTTCATATGCGTCATCGTGCGATCATGTCACATCCATCTCCCTCGCCTGTCCACGCACGCCATCTACCCAATGCCTCCTCACCTCCTCCCCAATCCCTCCAGCCGCTGCCGGCGGGCGGCGTTATCACTTGGATGAGGCGCAGCAGGCTAATGATGTTGATGCTGTCGATGGCGAGGATTGTGAGGCAGGATGGAGAGGGTCCACTCGAACGCTTCGATCAGCTCGTCGCGTGCACGCGTGTCACATACAAGGCATACGCACTGCCATTTGCTCAGACATCGTGCGCGCAACAAATCGTGTGTCTCGGGCCCCACGCGCCGTCGCATACCCTGCGCGTGCCTGGGCTGCCAGCGGCTATCATGATGCATACTGAAGCATGCGCGCTGTGCATCAGCCCACTGTTGACCACCCGCCCCGCTCTTCCACCCGCCTTCGTGTTCAGCGCGTGCATGGTGCAATCGCACCGTTGGCATCAGCTTGTCGCCGTCGATCATCACCTTGCGTGCGTGGGGGGCCGGGCAGAGCGATCATATCATCCATATCATCCTCTCATGCTCCTCCGCGGCAGTCAGTTTGCATGCGTTTGCAAGGTTAATTGCTATTGTGACCAGCCCAATGTCAGTGATTCTGATGTGCGAGAGAGCTCACGCCGAGAGCTGCTTCTGAGGTGATTTCGCAGGTCTCCGAACCACCTCGGAGTGAGCTTCACTCCAGGATCGCCCCCCATAGTGAATTCACTACGGGACTGCTTTGGTTTTCATTGTGTTGAGTCGGTCCCCAGAGTGAATTCACTACGAGGGCACATCTCAGAGTGATGTTCACTCCGAGGCCCTCCCAAATGCTTCGACATCAGGAAATTTGGGTGCCCGTTGCAAGCATACCGAGTCATCAGTTTGTCATGATTCCTGGTGGAAATTCAGTGTGTGGTTAGCCACCCGATCGGACATTCAACCATCAATTTAGCCGTTTGTAAGGTCAGGCTTGCACGCGCGTTGTACGCTTGCCACCGCAATCTCCACTTCCCCAGAGGTTGTATCCACGCCGCAGATACTCCCATCGATGTCAGACGCGCTCCCATCGCTGTGCGACCTCGAGCCCGACGTGTCCAGTGTGCCTTCTCTGCGGGTCGCCGCGGACCGCGACGCTATATGTGCCCGCCGTAACTTGGCTCGACAGGTCACAACCCGCGGTGCTTGGTGTGATGAGGTACTGTTGCCATTGACTCGTCGCGCGCTGTCTGTCGGTGCTCGCGCGTCTTGTACCGACGCTGTTTCAGCTCATCAATGGGTTGATTATGCACTTGCTCAAGTAGAGACTAACATCGGTGGTGGTGCTCTTCGTGCTATCATCGGTGGCCGTCGTGCTGTTCGGGTGAGTTCGTCATTCTCTGGTGTAGGTACCGACGTCACCGCACTGAAGCTCATCACCGCAGGCTGTCGTCGTTGGCTGGACTCGATTGGTGCCCAAGCTGCCTCAGCGCCTCGCTTCAAGCACTGCTGGGCCCTCGAGTTCAGTCAGCGCTGCCAAGCAGAGCTCGCGCTGGTTGAGGCCACGCTGGGCTCGCAAACGCAAACGCACTCCACCTCGCCTCCCCTGGCTCCAACCTCCCCCCTGACTCCTCCCTCTCACCGTTCAGTCGCCTCTCTTTTTCTCCGATACGATGCGGCTCTATCTCACACGCTCTCACGCTCAGTCCTTCTCCTCCCTCCCTACTCCGCCTCCTGTGCCAACGCCCCTCCTCCGCCTACATTCTCCCGCCCTCTGCGCTCCTTGCCACCCTCCCTCCTGCGCCTTCTCGCCAGCCCGTTCGCTCGCTAGCTCGCTCGTGCTCACCCCCCTCTCTCCCCTTCTCCCCGCTCCCCTTCCTGCTCGTTCTCGCCCATTGCCCCCCCCCCCCCCCCACCCCCCACCGCCCACAGCCGAACTCCTGCATCTTCGGGGACATCATGGCTACCACGCCCGACCACTTGCGAGCCAAGGTCGGTTTGGGCGGCAACGTTGGCCAGACCGCGCCAGAACTCGCTAAGACCCTTCCGACCTGCAACGTGAAGACGGCGTGCCACTGCATCCAGCACAACACCACGTGCCAGATGATACGATGCGACGTGCACATCGCAGGCACTCCTTCCTCATCCTTCGCCTTCGCCCCTTTCCACCCGCGCGCTATTCGATCGATCGATCGATCGATCGATCAGCTATGTTGATGCGTCATGTGTTGACTGGCCGTCCTGGACGGGCAGGTGTGCAAACGCTCGTGGAGGGCAGGTGGGAGGTGGGTGGGAAGGGCGTCGCAGCGCACCTGCGACACCTGGGGACCGATGGGAGACCTCCAGATTTCCGAAACCGCCACGCGCAGTTTCCTGGGAGCTGTTCGAATGGGGTGTCGCGACGCGACAGTTTGCTTCACCTGCGTATCCGCGTATCCGTAACTTTCTTTGCTCGCCAGCCAGCGGGCACGCGCGTGGCCGTGACGCCACTGGCTCTCTTCTCGCCAGACACCGAACTTTCGAACATGGCATCTTGGGCAGCTGGGGCAGCTGCAGCGACGTCGGTGGAAGTGACGAGGGGAGCGCGCACCATCGTCTTGATCGACATGCCGCAGCGCGACGACTTGGAGGACGACGTGCAGCAACAACAACCATATGTTGTCATGGGAAGGATCTTCGGCTACTTCAAGGAGCTGGACACGTGGGCCCCGGTGGCTTGCCAAGTCTTCTTCAACAACGACACGATGTCGCTTTGCGCCAAGGTGTCTGCGATCAAGGCGGCCATTACCTCAGAGTTTTCGAAGTGCCACGGCGTGACCATCCAGATCTTGCGGGCCAGCGGTCAGTCACCGATAGGCGAGGCACTGGACGACGCCGCGTTTGTGGAGTTGTGGGAGTGGATCAAAGTTCCCAAGGTCTCCGACGACAAGGCCGACGACATGACGCCGACAGCGGAGCCGACGCCATGGTTCGTGCCAGCGGACATCCCCAATATCGAGGCTAATGTCTATTGTCACAACCAGGACAAATGGACGACTATTTCGTTGCCGAATCGCGAGGGCCCCACGCAGGGTCGCCAAGTGTCCACCATCGTGCAGCTCAAGAAGGAGGCGTTGATCGCGTTCGGTTACGAGAACCTGGACCGCGCAACGATCAGGGACGTTGTCAAGATGTACTACAACAACGCAGGACAAGGAAGGCTCCCGGTCCTGCCGAACAACAAGCGCGTGATCCACCGCAAGTGGTACAGCATGACGGTGATGCCTGGCGACGACGCGAGAACGATGCGGGCCGCACCTGTGACGCCAGATGGGGAGTCACTCGCATCGTGGGACGCTGCGGCTGCAGACTCTGACGTGCTGGATGGCGAGCAGTGAGGCACAACCCTGAGCTAACCCTGACCTGGCTTCATCAATATGCGTGACGGCGTCTGGTGAGACGCCCAGCGCAGTGAGGAGGGGGGAAGAAGCGGGAAGAATAATCATAACATGATAATGCGATGAGGATGGGGGGAGGCGGAGGGGGGGGAGGAGGAGGGGGAGGATGAGGAGGGGAGTGAAGCTTAGTCTAAGTGAAACGCGCCGTGCCTGGGCGCGCGGTGAAGCGGCCGTTGGCCGCCTTCACTGCTTTGTATGCTTGTTTCGCGCCTTGCGCGCGCAGCCAGGTCAGGTCAGGGGCATCGAGTGACATCGGCCTCGACGAGGCGAAGCTGGGAAGGGAAGGGAGAGAGGAAAACAGGAGCACCCATCATCATTCATCATCATCGCCCCCGCGTCCCCGGGTCCCTGCCGCCGTCAGATGATCCCACCGATCGGCAACCTTCGAGTCACGTCGATCGCGGTCTGCCGATCCGATCCCGATCCCGCCGATCTGATCGTCTGATCGATCGGCCGAACCGAGCGGGCATTCGGCTGCCGCCCGCAGGCGCCCCGTGCACCGATCACAGCAAGTTCGGCAACGCTTTGAAGTTCAGTGGCCCTCGCGCGAAGTTGTTCTACCTCTGGGTCGCGATGAGGCGCAAGCTGCTTGAGAAGATCTTTCTCCACGAGAACGTCCCAGGTTTCGGCGACCTGGAGCTGAAGACCCACCTGGGCGACGCGTATGTTATCTTGCGCATCGTCTTGGACCCCAACGCGAGCGGCTTTGCCATTGTCAGGGTCCGCCAGTGTTGCATGGGGATCAGCCGCGTCTGGATCACTCAGACGCTTGGTGCCGTCATTGGCCAAGCGGAGCTGGGTCGCATCCTGATGGGCGTCGTCGATATGGAGCAGACGCACGGGGAGCTATTCAGCCGGAGGTGTGCTCACTCGTGGAAGGAGTGCGCGACCGCCACCGACCGCGAGAAAGCCTCAGAGGTCGCGTGGGCTCGCGGGCGGCCGAGCGTCCAGGAGCGGTGCCCTGGGCGCGGAGGAGGAAGGATGACGAGACGAAGCGAGGATGAGGCTGAGGAGGAGGAGGAGAAGGAGGAGGAGGCGGGTTGATGATGGAAGAGAGGGAAGAGCGGAGGAGAGGAGAGGACGAGGATGAGGAGGGGGAGGAGGAGGAGGGGGAGGAGAAGAAGGGAGGGGATAAGGCGGTGGAGGAGTCAGTGGAGGAGTGGAGGAGGGAGGATGCACGAATCCCCCCGCAGGTACGCTGCACCAGAGTCTCTTGAGGCAGCCTGGTACAACTACCTCGACCCCCCAGGCTCGTACCTCACCCTTCTCAGCATCCCCGAGCGCATGCGCTTGGACGAGTACTGCGTCAAGTACGGCATCAAAGGCTTGGTCTGCGACGTGGGGCAGAACCCCGCTGAGCGCCCGATAGTTGGTTCCGGCGGGCGCCTTCCCGCGCTCATTGCAGGGGCGGGGACTATGTTCTCAACGAGCCTCAGGAGGTGGCTCACGCCGTCGGAGTTGTGGCTTGCGATGGGCTTCCCCTCGACGGCCTCCGTGGCA